CATTTCCAACCTCAAACCCAGAGCGTACAAACAGACGAATCCAGCAAGTCAGAAAGCAAAGCCAATTTAATCTGTGGCTCCCCTGAGGTAAATGTAGTTCACAGTCCTGCCCCCACCCCAACCTCAGCCATAATCCCTGCTTCCTGGAGGTAAGAAAGCACTGGAGTGAGGAAAATTCTGCAGCAGGATATAATGATCCAAAATGACAGGGACAATAATGACAATGAATTTCATGTCTCCCAGTCATGAGCTGGGGATGCTTGACTGGGCTGACTCACACGATTAAATTGTTACAGGTACAGCAGAGACGCAGCTATCATCCGGTGCTTTCGGGAAGGCGCCCGGGGCGGCGGGCAGGCAGCGCCCTTCTGTCGGGAGCAAAGGGCTCCTCCTGCAGCCACGCGCACCTCCGACAGAGGCAAAACTGGGTTAAACACGCAGCTGGTGCGGCCCGTTGATTTTATCCCTTCTGAAAATGATAAAAGGGCCCTGGCGGGGAAAGCGCGGCGGGAGCGGAGCGGCGAGGCACGGCGTGTGCCCGAGGGAGGTGGGCAGCTCTGGGAGCTGGGGCTGCCTGTCCGTGCCACCATCAGAATGCTCCAGAGCTCTGTGCTGGGCTGTCTGCATCTGCATCCCTGGGAGCTGGGGCTGCCTGTCCGTGCCAGCACCAGCACCACCATCACCTCCAGCTCCAGAAAGCTCCAGAGCTCTGTGCTGGGCTCTCTGCACCCCTGGGAGCTGGTCCTGCCTATCCATGCCAGCACCAGAAAGCTCCAGAGCTCTGTGCTGGGCTCTCTGCACCCCTGGGAGCTGGTCCTGCCTATCCATGCCAGCACCAGAAAGCTCCAGAGCTCTGTGCTGGGCTCTCTGCACCCCTGGGAGCTGGTCCTGCCTGTCTGTGCCAGCACCAGCATCAGCACCAGAATGCTCCAGAGGTCCATCCTGGGCTCCCTGCACCTCCATCCCACAGAGCTGGGCAGCCCTGGGAGCTGGTCCTGCCTATCCATGCCAGCACCAGAAAGCTCCAGAGCTCTGTGCTGGGCTCTCTGCACCCCTGGGAGCTGGTCCTGCCTGTCTGTGCCAGCACCAGCATCAGCACCAGAATGCTCCAGAGGTCCATCCTGGGCTCCCTGCACCTCCATCCCACAGAGCTGGGCAGCCCTGGGAGCTGGTCCTGCCTATCCATGCCAGCACCAGCAAGCTCCAGAGCTCTGTGCTGGGCTCTGTGCACCCCTGGGAGCTGGGTCTGCCTGTCTGTGCCAGCACCAGCACCAGCATCAGCACCAGCTCCAGCTCCAGCATGGTCCAGAGCTCTGTGCTGGGCTCTGTGCCCCTTCCAGCCCCACACCCTGCAGGGTTTCATGGGCAGCTCTGAGATGCAGAGTGCCCTGGCACACAACTGGGCACGGACACACACCGAGTGATTCCCAGCCACACCACGGTCAGCGTGCCTGCAAGGCTTCTCTCTCCCACCCAGTCTCAGACTGGAAACACCAGGAAATATCAGCAGCTGCGCGTTTAAATTCACCTATGGAAAGTCTGTTCAGTGACAAGCTGTCAGAGTTTTTATATCCAGGGAAGGAAAACAGCCACAGAGTTGTCTGTAATACCCCTATTACAGCTCAACATCTCCAAATATCCATTTGTCAAACATGAATTATAAAGCTATAACATTTCATAATTCAGGACACACTCAAATCCTAGGAAAAATAGCTACAAGAGCCCAAATAAAAAAAAGCATTTATTCCATTTTTGACAGCTTAATGAATGCCCTACTCTTTTGCATTGATTTTTGTGTGTGTGTCTGTGTGTGCATGTGTGCCTGGGAAGGATTTCTCAGGGGGTTTGCTGTAAACAGGGAAAGCGAAATCCTCTGCCAAGGCTTTTTCTACTTTTAAATAACGTCCATATTAAAATATTTCAGCAGAGAATGCATGCAAAACTACTGAGAATGCAAAAAGCAAAAAACAACTACTTACATCCCAGTAAACATACTGAGATTTGTAGAACAAGACATGAAACAATCCAATACCTCAACGTGGCAAGAGAGTCCCAGACACAGCATATGTTAATTTCTTCTTTCAGGAAATAACAGCAAATTCAGAAAGCACGGTCAGCAGAGCCCTAGAATCTAAAATTCAGGACTGATTCCAGAACACAGATTTTCCTTACACACCTAAGGGCTCTTGCAAGGCAAAATATGTTAAAGAAGCCTGCAAGCACCTAGAGACAGAAAAATAATGTATCATGAAGAGAACCGTGCCACTTGGAATTGCTGAACACTTTACATTGACACACTCTGGCCAGCTGGATCCCTGCTTTAATGGTTTTCCTAGTTGTTATCATAATGAACTCTATATAATTTAAATGGAGATGAATTCTCCCATTTAAAGCGCTTTGGAACAATCCTGCCCGAGATCCTGAGCTGAGCCCAGCCTCTCCCTGCGCCTCCTCTCCAGCTCTCCCGCAGCCCCTAAGTGGATCTGACAGATCCCTGCTCAGATAGCAGCCGCCTTCTCCCCCCAAAATGTTGCCTTTTTGCTATTCAGGAGTATCCTAATACCAACAAATGCTAAATGCAGTCTGACATGTCCCCCTAAGAAACAAACTTGTAAGTTGTGGCTTCAAAGCAAACCTTGAATAAATAGGACACGTTGTGTACACCCCGGCTAACATCCAACATATGCTTTGGCTTCCCGATGCTCAGGCAGAGCAGGAATAGCCTCTGGACAAGGCTGCGATTTGCTCTTGCCGGTACTTGCAGCGTTTACGATGTACCATTTCTTTGTGCCTGTATAAACAATTCAGAGGCTGTAATGAAGACGAGCCCGGCGCGGTTGGGAACGCGGCGGCCCCGTGAATTACGGATGGCTGGAGGTGCCAGCAGCCCCACAGGGCCACACAGACACAGGGACCCCGGGCAGGGCTGCAGCACACCGGCACCAACCTGCACATGCAGCGTTTGCGCCTCTTCCCCTCGTGCTGGGCATCCACAGCTGTCACCATTAACAGCTCCCTTTGCAACACTTACAGCGACAGGGAACAGAGGAAGGGAGGAAACGGGATAGAACTGCATTTAACTGCACTCACAGTTGAGACACTCCATCCTTAAAAGGCCAATTTATCAATTCATCCTTCGGGGGAGAGAGAAGGGATGGACAGAGAAGAGAAAGATATCACCTACTTTAAGACTTGTATTTTGCTTTGCCATTATTTAATACTCTATTTTATGACTAATCCTTCTGAAAGGACTAAAACAAATTTAATTTCATCACCCCTTCCTCTACTTTCAGCTCCATTCCCTCTCCCTTTGTGCTCCATCCCTCTGGATTTAGGGTGTGACAGCACATCACTAAAATTCAAGTACAATAATTTACAAGACCTAAAGGGAGCTTGCTGAAATGCCGTGACTTAAAGCCCATTTCCCGTGGCCAGAACACGGGTTAATTGATCAGGACAAAGCAGTCCCCGTGCCCCAGCCCCACGGGAGCCCCCTGCCCCAGGGGCCACCCCAGAGCAGAGTGACACGGACAGCAGCGAGCTGAACCGTGGCCTGCTCACCGCTGAATTAATGCTCCAGCTGGGCAGTGCTCATTCTGCACGAGGTGCAGCCTCAGAACACTCACACGGGCATTATCCCCTCACAGATTTCATCCCCGAGTCCTTCAAACCCATCCTACTCTTCAGGGAAACTGAGGTTTGGTACAGGATGAGAGCAGGTACAAGCTTGGAGAGCTTTTTAAATTTTAACTCAAAACAGCATTTCTTTACATTCTGCCTAAAACCAAGGATAACTAATCTGTGTCTTATAGAGAAAGCCACATAAAGCAAGACAGATTTTTCCTTTTTTTCTCTATTTTATCTTCCTTCCCAATAGTGAGCGTGGGTTTGTTTCCCTCTGTTGGGATGGCACTGAACCTCCAGGGACATCTCTCAGTCACTCAGAGCCTTGCCGTGCCTGTGTTTGCCATCAAAGCCCACCTGGCATCTTGATGCTGAATCTCTAGATTTACAGCACTGTTTAAAACAATTATTCATGTAAGAAACGTGAAAACCAATTTTAAGGCTACCCTGAAAGATGCATCTTTGGAATGCTGGAGTAGTAAATAGCCATGATACAGCCAAATTATTTATTTAATCAGAAAAAACTTCACTAGATTATAAATAGATTTCAAGCTATAGTGCTCTTAAGAGAAGTGTAATTACAGTTAAGAGAACCACTTCGTTCTTCTGGCAGGCTCCTGGGATCCCTTAAAACAAGCAAAGGAATAGCTCAGGATACAGAAAAAATAAACCTGAATTCCCTCTCTGTGTGCTGTGTATGGCAGGTACTGGGTAAAAAACTGCCACATAATCCCATAACAAATTTTGCTACATTTGCAAATTTTGCTCTCATTTCCTCCAGACCTTAAAAACAAGATAAAATGCAGCTTCTATCAGTAGTAAAACCAACTAAACACAAGTCCATCCTTTAAATCCAACCCTCCTCTCAAACAAGAATCTGCACATACCTATTCCCACACATATATATGAATTTTTAATTGATTTCCACTGGGCTGCTGGGCTCTGTCTGAGACACCTGCAATTAACAACACAAGCTTTAGGCAGAAGCCTCATACACCCCACTGGAGTCCAGTGTGTTTCCAGAGCTCTTCCCAGTCCAGAACCCTTTGATGAGCTGATGAATTGTTCCAAACACAGTTCTACAAAGGGAAAAGAATTCCCTTATAATCCACCTTGTGTGAAGACCTTTCTGCTGCCCAAAGGTCAGGAACCACATCTCCACCAGAACACTTCCACACTGCTCTGCACCCAAGGAAAGCCAAGAACAGCCACTGCATTTTCTCCTACACCCAGTAAGTTTCTGCAGAAAACATGGCTTATCTCCCACACTACCAATGAAGCTGCAGAGAGCCAGGGTACCATCTCCAGCCCCCCACTCGTGTCTGAAGCCCAAAGGCAGAGCCCAGCAGCCCAGAGCAGGCAGACAGGCCACGCACCGTCGTAGTAGACAATGGCTCCCACCAGCTTGTCCCGGCGCAGCATGGGGAACAGCTCCAGGGCGCGGCTCTTGGTCAGCACGTAGCTGCTCTTCAGGCACTGCCTGCCTGCCACCAGGTCGTACAGCTTGATCCCAATCCAGTAGTAGGGCAGCTGCCACCACCTGGGGGGAGACAAGGTACGAACGAAGCGTTTACAGGTGCGTGCACACTCTGTTACTGCAACACGCTGAGTAACACACAATGTTCTTACAGCACTTCCACCTTGTGCAGCATTACGAGCTCGTGGTAACAAGACGATGTAAATACTCCAGACTTAGGTGTTGTTTGCCACTGTTTTTAACTGAGCTACTCCCTGCAGCGAGTCAAGCGCATTCAAGGATTTATTTGCTCTAAAATCGGGATCTAAACGGGGCTGTTGTGCCTCTGGGTGAGATATTGGAGCTGTGTGCAAGCTGAGAGGATTCCCCCAAGGCAGGTTCTAAGGCCTCCTGCACAAACAGGACCACAATAAATGCAGGCAGCCACTGACCTACTCAAGCTCCAGCTCTTACAAGCCCCTCACACTAAGTCAGGAATAATAAAAACAGCAATGATCTTAATAAAATTAGGTTCCTTCAGCAAAACCTCCCTGCTCTGAGTAGCCTGTTCCAGTGAGTAACTGCTCTTGCAGGCTGAAAACCCAACCCAAAGCACTGAGTGCCCTCCTCAGAGGAGGAATCTGTTCTGTGTCCCCAGGGACTGAACACCACCTTGCTGGGAACACTGGGGGGCCAAGGGTGCACTGAAAGAACAGCAAATACATCCTGGCAATGAGAGCTCTTGGCAGCTGTCCCTGCTGGGGTGCTGGAAGGGCTGCACCCCAGGAAGTGCCCCCCAAATCAGCGACTGCTGGCTGGGCACAGGAGAACTCTGTGCTTCTGCAGCCCAGTAACTTCCCCCAGGACAGCTTCAAGAAACCCCTCCCAGGTCAGGGTTTGCTTGTGAGAAGCCAAGGTAAAGGAGAGAAGGCACAGCAGAGCTTACTTGTAGATGGGCAGCATGATGGGCAGCGCACCTGAGAGGTGGGGCGCGCTCTGCAGCAGGTGTGCACGCTCCTCCAGGGCCTCCTTCACCATCCTGTACTGCAAAACAGCAGCCAGGGTCAGTGCCACCCCCCTCCAGCCCTCCTTCCCCTCCTGTACTGCAAAACAGCAGCCAGGGTCAGTGCCAGCCAGGGTCAGTGCCACAGCACCCACCCTGCTCCAGAGCCACAGCACCCACCCGCCTCCAGAGCCACAGCACCCACCCGCCTCCAGCCCTCCCTCACCATCCTGCACTGCCAAACACCAGCCAGGTGTTTCCCCTGAAAAGTCACCACTCCGGCAGCAGCATCTCAACCACTAAAACATACTTTGAGAGGCTCCAATGGAAAGACAATGTGAGTCCTCAAAACAGGAATATCAGGCTTCCACCCACACAAGAATGCACAAAAGCATCTATAAACTCTCACTCATTTACCATATTTTCTTTCCCCATGCCAAAATAAATCACTCATTTACCACCTTTTATTCCCTTATTCCAAAATAAGTCGCTCATTTACAATATTTTTCCCCCATTCCAAATTAAATCACTCATTTACCATCTTTTCTCTCTCCATTGCAGAACAGGACAGCCACTCACTCCCCCCAGTTCATGACATTGCCTGTCTCATTTTACTTTATTTTATTTTATTTTATTTTATTTTGTTTCAAGCTGTTTTTGTTCCGAGATCAGCCCTGTCTCTGCCTGCCCTTCCCAAAGCCCAGAGCCTGCAGGGCCTGGCAGTGACACTGCCCAGCAAAGCTCCCCAGAGCAGACACTTCCCATGCACAGTGGCTGTGGAACACAACGCTGGAACCCAGCACTGGAAAGCTCCAAAGGAGACTCGGCTCTAACTGGGACAGTGAAGTGTCCACCAGCAATTCTTGCTGAACAACCAGCACACAAAATTACCTGCTCGAAATCCAACCTCATGATGGCCTTCTGGAGGTACCTCACCCCACCGTGGATCAATTTAGTGCTCCTGCTGCTGGTCCCCGATGAGAAATCATCTCTTTCTAGAAGGGCTGTTTTTAGTCCTGTGTTACCAGAAAACCGAATTAACTTCTTAAATTACACAATTTGTATGTAATTCATTAAAGGCACTTCTCTAGGGTAGAGACAATCACAAGAAAAATTACTCTGTACATGGATAAATTTGTATTCAAAGTGTAGTGCACTGTCTATATTGTAATGAAAAATTTTCGCCTTCTTCCTGAGGGAAAAGTCAAAGCAGAACTCAAACAGCAGCACATTAAAAGCTGGGTGTTTCACAATGGAAAGGCATTACTGCACATTACGGGGGCACGCTCCCCAGGGAAATGACAGCTTGGATGCATGGCAGGAACAGAGGGGCTCCGTGGGCACTTTTAACCCTTTGCAGCAGGGAGCTCCACACCTCTTCAGCAACCATTTAAGTGGCATTCCAGAGAGGGAGACAACTGGCAGCTCTGCTTACTTGGAGTTTGCCCCAGAGGGGCCCAAACCCGTGGGGCACACTTGGAATTCTGACATACACAGGAAACAGTCTGATCAGCCTTAACCACTGAACCCCTGGGGCTGGAAAAGACTCCAGCATGACTGGGCCCAACCGTGCTCCAGCCCCTCAATGTCCTTGGAATTCTGATATCCACAGGAAACAGCCTGGTCAGCCTTAACCACTGAACCCCTGGGGCTGGAAAAGACTCCAGCATGACTGGGCCCAACCACGCTCCAGCCCCTCAATGTCCTTTTGCCATGAGGGACCCAGAACTGGACACAGCACTCGAGGGCCCTCAGCAATGCCAACATTGAAATTTTAACATCTGCTGGTCTCCCAAAACTTTTACGTGCTTAAAAAAATCTAATTATTACTAGTAACTTAGAAAGATCAGAGCAATTTATTTTTGTCGAATGTGACTGAAGATTAATGGACACAATCAGAAATAATTTGGTGAAGATTTATCAAACACACGAAAAGCAAAATTTGTTGTTAAGCGAAGCAAACACGATAAAAGAGCAAGTTCCATGAATGAACAGCAACGAGACACAACTCATTAACCAAATGCCCGTGAATATTTCACACCTCAGAGACCTACTGATATAACCAGTACACCCAAGAAAAGGATAAACAGAGATTAACTGTAATCATTTCTGTCTGCTTTACAACTGCACTTTCTGCCACAGCACAGCAGAGGCAGAAGGGAGAAGATCTTTGTCCCGTGTTATTAAATATAACAACCAGGCTGGAGTTTAGACTTATCTCCCTGTGCTCGGTCCCTACAGCTTTATCCATTCATATTACCACACCTGCTGGATGAGTGTTTCCCAGCTCAAACTGAAAGGTTCTCCAGGGGTTTTGTCTCTGCTTCTGAGGTGCATGTCCAGGTTAAAGAGCCTGAGAGCTTCAGGGCTCTGTGCTCTGGCCAGTTCCCCAAAGGTGGGGAGCCTGTGCTGCATGACCTTGTGACGGTGCTCACAGGGGTCTGAGGGGAGAGATGAGGATCTGACTCCTTGCTTCAGGAGGCTGATTGATTATTTTATGATATATATTACATTAAAACTATTCTGAAAGAATAGAAGAAAGGATTTCCTCTGAAGGCTGGCTAAGAATAGAAAAAGAAAGAATGATAACAAAGGGTTGTGGCTCGGACCGAGAGTCCGAGAGAGCTGCCTGTGATTGGCCATTAATTAGAAACAACCCCATGAGACCAATCACAGATGCACCTGTTGCATTCCACAGATAATCATTGTTTACATTTTGTTCCTGAGGCTTCTCAGCTTCTCAGGAGAAAAAACCCTAAAGAAAGGATTTTTCAGAAAATACCATGGCTCCATGACCTTCCTCAGGGTCCTTCTGCGAGCAGAGGTTTCCCAGCCAGGACAGCCAGGCTCTGCCTGTGGGCACTTGAGGAAAGCCCCTCAGAGCAGAGTGCTCCAGCCCAGGTAACCCCCAGGTAACCCCCAGGTAACAGCCCAGCCCTCACCTCTGGTGGCCGCGTCCAGGGCACAGCCGCAGCCCGTGGCTCCCCCGCCGATGACCAGCACGTCGAACTCCGCGCCGCTCTGCAGGGCCGCCAGCTGCTGCTCCCGCGTGGGGAGATGCTCCTGCCTGCCTGGAACGGCCTCCGCAGCCTGCACCTGCACCAGGGCACCCTGCAGGGGGGAACACAGCCGTGAGGCTTGGCCTGGCTCTGCACACACACAGATATGGGGGCAGACAGCCCAAACACAGCCTCTTCTACAGCCACAAGGGTAAACTCACCTATTGCCAGCCACTGCCCCCACCTTTCACAATCACATTGTATTAAACACTGAGCAGCAAACAGTACTGAATCCATGAAGGGATACCCCACCTCTACTTCACCTTGCCCACCTCAATGTAACACCGCACTCGAGTGTTACCGCCTGTATTCATTACTTCTAGGAACTCTCAAATGTTACAGGATGCTGTTATTATTGTAATAAGCACTACAAAGGAAGCATTTTAATAAACAGACACATGGCTGGGCTCTGGACTCTCCATCAAAAAATTCACCAGAGCTGCGTGTACATTTCCCATCTCATGCAGTGGCATTAATCCAAGCTCAAGTTCAATGAGGTTCAGGAGTGATGCGATTGTCAAACATAGTGCCCTGAAACACCAAAGAAACTCTGATTTCACCTCCTTTTTGAGAAACTTCTAAGCAATGCAGTTTATGTCCTGCAGCGCATTAAAATACAAGTTTAAAGTGACAAAGCTTAACAACGTGGCAGTTTGCAGCCAAGCTCCCATTTCCCTGGAATGGCCCTGGGGATCTCTTTGGGCTGATATTCCCAGAGCCAATGCTGCTGTGTGCAGTGACTGTGGAGAGAAGGGCTGATGCTCAGCCACCTACCACGGACCATGGCTCAAGCAGGAAGGGTCTGAGCAGTCTCTGAAGGCTCTCTGCTGTTAACGTCAACTTAAACTGAATTCTGAACGTTTCCAGACTTTCTTGAAAATTATAAACACTTTGAACACCAGAAAAACCTGTTTAACCCTAATTTAAGACCTTATTTAGGCACAGTCTCCAGGCCAAATGGCAGACTTAACTATGCAGAATAGCTTCTGCCCAGATCTCCCAGACAGGAAAGAGCAGACTCATAAAAATTCAAGTGACAAACCACAGAAACTCCTTTCCAGCCAAGCACAAAAAGCCTCAGTTCAGATTATATGGTGCATGCAGCCTAAATATTTTTGTTCAGAATTATTTGCTCATTCTTCAGCAGTATCATGATTTAAATGCATTAGTTCTGTGCCCCTCTCTCTGCCATAGAGCTGAAAATAAAATCTAAAAACTAGCAGCCATGACTCAAGGAAGCGCATATTCCAAGGATAATTAATGGGCAGGTTCATCCTGCAATCAGGGATGATATTGACTGTAATGCTGACTGAAGTAGCTGATGAAAATCCCTCAGGACAGCAGCAGCCACCGCCACTGCCCCTGTGGTACAGTGCAATCCCTGGGAAAGTGGGGCTGGAGAGAGGGTCCTGCACTTCATACTGAGGATCTAATGGGGTCCTGGAGCTGCTGCAGGGCTGCAGCCCCTCTGCTCTGGGGCCAGGCTGGCAGAGCTGGGGGTGCTCCCCTGGAGAGGGGAAGGATCCAGGGAGAGCTGGGAATGCTCCCCTGGAGAAGGGAAGGATCCAGGCAGAGCTGGGAATGCTCCCCTGGAGAGGGGAAGGATCCAGGGAGAGCTGGGAATGTTCATCTGGAGAAGGGAAGGATCCAGGCAGAGCTGGGAATGCTCCCCTGGAGAAGGGAAGGATCCAGGCAGAGCTGGGAATGTTCCCCTGGAGAGGGGAAGGCTCCAGGCAGAGCTGGGAATGTTCCCCTGGAGAGGGGAAGGATCCAGGGAGAGCTGGGAATGTTCATCTGGAGAGGGGAAGGATCCAGGGAGAGCTGGGAATGCTCCCCTGGAGAGGGGAAGGATCCAGGCAGAGCTGGGAATGCTCCCCTGGAGAAGGGAAGGATCCAGGCAGAGCTGGGAATGCTCCCCTGGAGAAGGGAAGGATCCAGGCAGAGCTGGGAATGCTCCCCTGGAGAGGGGAAGGATCCAGGGAGAGCTGGGAATGTTCATCTGGAGAAGGGAAGGATCCAGGGAGAGCTCAGAGCCCCTGGCAGGGCCTGAGGGGGCTCCAGGAGGGCAGGAGATGGACTGGGGACAAGAAATAAAAAATAAGAGTTATAAGGAATCCTGTTTGTTCCCAAGCGTGGTGATCCCTGTGGGATCAGCTCTGTCCTCCAGCCCATGCAGGGCACTCAGGAGCTGCAGTGCCCAGCTGTGCCCAGCTGTGCCCAGCTGCAAAGGCAGCAAACTCTGCTCACAGGCACAGCAGCCCTCACACACAGCCTGCAGCTCCCGAGGCACTCTGGGGCTGGGAGGAGACAGGTGAGAAGTTTGGGAGTTTCAGAGAAACTCAGGTGCCTCGTTATTCTCCTGACCACGGAATTCTGCGAATCCCCACCTCCTCCTGCCTCGTGCCCTGCTCTCTCACCGGCCCTGTCGGCTCCAGCACTGCCATAACCCTTTCATATCCCCAAAGTACAACAGAGCATATAACAGAATCCCAGAAGGGCTTGGGTTGGAAGGGACCTTAAAGGCCACCCTGGCACTGCCAGACAGCAGTGACAAGCAGGAAATTGGGGACACTAAAACACCCTATCTTGCACGTGTTTAGGCTGATGAAGCTCAGTGACACGTGATAACTTCCACGAGCTCTGGAGAAGGAAAATCCCCTCCAAATTTACTGTGCACTACATTTCCTGAGAAATTTCCAAGCATGCTACTTCAGGAAAATAACAGAACACCAGAAAAGAGAGATTTGGAGTTCAAGAAACACTGGCATCAGGTGGGTTTAACTCCATGTCTAGGTTTGCTTTTAAACTCATTATTTACAACAAATGGCTCCTAGCAGAGCCCAGAGCAGAGTCCCAGCATCCAGCCCCTGGTATAGCCAGAGTGTGGAGATTAGCCCTGGAATATAAGCAGAGTGATTAGTACCAGGAATTGATATAGATATGATGCATCTTGCTGTCAATTAAATGGGGGAGTGAAGAAAAGCTGCACACAGGGATTCCATCTGCAGTAACGTGATTAGTTTGGCAGTGAACAAGTGTGTTTACTGAAATAAGCAATTGCTGTTTATATCTACAATTTCTCAGGCAAGAGTTCCCTGAATGGTTTTGATTACGCTCTTAGTGAGAGGAATTTAGTTTGGCAGTTTGAATTTAATCATCAAGTTATAAAGTGATCTAGTAATCCATAATCCAGTGCTCTCGTTAATTTGCTACTGTAAATCTCCAGGTAGGTTTGCAGAGTCAAATTCATCATCCTTATTCATTTAAACAAAAAAATACAGTAATTAGAACTCCCCAGAGCAGGCCCTGATGCATTATCGTATTATCACACATTGGATTCACCTTGCTGAGCAGTTCCTACTGACCAACAACACACCCACACACCAGAAGAGCAGGGTTGGGAAAGGACAGCAGAATCCTGCAATTCCAAACCAAAGCACTGCCTTTTCCTCAGTGATCATGAGGGGAGAGGGGAAGGAAAAGCCAGCAGCGGTCTCCAGTCCAACCTGGCATGTCCAGAACACCCCATCTCACACCTACTGAGGCTGATGCATTCAATAAAGGCCCAAAACCAGAATGCAGCACTGCAGTCAGGAAGGAGGAGGATCTGTGTCCAACTCTGTGTCCCCATCAGTGCTGGAAGTGCTGGTGAAGCAGCTGGCAAAGGCTCCCTGTGCCACCTGGGCCGTGCAGTGTCTGAGTGTTTGAGGGCAAATCACAGAATTCCAGAGTGATTTGGGCTGGAAGGGACCTAAAGCTCATCCAGTGCCATGGCAGGGACACCTTCCACTGTCCAGGGTGCTCTAAGCCCTGTCCAGCGTGGCCTGGGACACCTCCAGGGATGACATGAGCTTTAAGGCTCCTTTGAACCCACACTGTTCTGGGATTCAGTGACTCAGTTCCAGTTGCACATGTGACCCAAAATGCCAGCAGATGTGTGTGCACAGAAAAATTAGTTGGGATAAAAGCACTAAAAGGTGGTTCTGTGATTTTGACCCCATGATCACACTCTGTAAAACCCCGGGGTTTAATCTGTCTCTGGAAGCTCAGAGCAGCTATCCATCCCCAGCAAAAGAGGAATTCCCTGAATTCTGGGGTACTGCAGACAATATGCAACAAGTGAGCTCCCCAGGTGACTTTTCCCTTCCATCTCTCTTATTTAGCAGTCCTAAAAGCTGCAGCTGCCATTTCTGCCAGTAATGAAGGCAGGCTGTAAAATCCTGGGACAGAGACTCTGGAGAGAACATTACCAGCTTGGAGCAAGGCAGGCAGCACGACGGGGAGCTCTCTTGAAATGCTGGGGTTTATTTTCTGCAACAGTATCTGAAGCCATAAGAATCCTGCCTTATCCACTTGCAGCTTGGCTCCCCAGACATGACTCATCTCATTCCCAGCTGCTCCTCCTCCTCCCCACAGAAACACGCAGAAAAGGGACTTAAAGGCCATTGTGGACGTGGGGACACGGTGGCCTTGGCAGTGCTAGGAGAACGGTTGGACTGGGGGTCTCAGAGGAATGTGCCAGCCCTACAAGTCCATGGTGCAATGGTGAAGAAGGGAGCTCCAGAGCACAGCCACTGCAGCCCTGCTGGGAGGAGCAGGTACCCAGGAAATCTGTTTTCTGCAGCAGCAAGGTGCAGGGCACAGACTGCCATGGGATGTGCTGCTTTGGCTTTCGCAGCACCAGCCTGCCCTGCTGCGGGAGCTGCCCCTGCCCATGGCCCTCAGCTGGGCACAGCCCTGCAGGGACCCCAGCCCATGGGGCAGAGCCTGCCCTGCCCCTGCCTTGGCACAGCTCCTGCCCCCAGCCCCAGGAACCCAGCAGGAGCTGGCACCAGCTCTGTGCTGAGCCTGGGACGTTCACAGGTAGTGCTGCTGGTTTCAGTTCCAGCCTCTCAGCTTGAAAACACTGTGCAGACAGCACTATTACTTCAGTCAGGCCTTTCCACTCCTCCTGCAACTAAGTAAAGCCCCCAGTGGCAGCCAAAGGTCATTCTTTAAAACTATTTGTACAAGCCTGACATATGCTGTGACAGATTTTAAGTTTCCTATTTTATCAAAAATCATAATTAATACTTACGTGTTTGTTTCTATGCTGAGAAAATTGAGAGAGGCCAAAAACTGTTGCTATGGCACCTCCTCCAATGAGAGCAGTTCCTTTCACTGCCTTCTGAAATGCCATTTTTTACTGGAAGAAAAGAAGATAAAAATTAATTGGCAGTTTTACCATGTCAGGATCTGGTACACGCAGAATAAACGATTTGAAGAAACTAATAACAATGTTGTGACAAGTTGAAATTTAGACTAGCGATATCTTAATTAGAGATTTTCACAGCAATATTAGTAACTTCTAAACAAAGTCTAGACAGAGGCAAGCCAGAGTGCTCTGGTGTCTGCTGAGAAAGCTGAAGGATGAAAGAGTATTGGGATCAGAGTAGATATCCACAGCCCACAGTGACCCTGAGTGTGACAGGCACGGCCAATCCCACGGAAAGGCAGACCAGGAGCAGCAGTGACAGTGCCACCAACCCTGATCCCAGCACCACAGGTGTGATCAGCTCCTCAGCACCTCTTGCACTGCCATGCCATGCCATGCCATGCCATGCCATGCCATGCCATGCCAGCCCTGCTGCAGTCCCTCTGCCCAGAGCCCAGCCCGTCCTACCCGGGTGCAGCAGGAGCAGGGCCCGCAGCAGCAGCAGCACACACAGGGACAGAGCTGCATTCCCATGCCATGCCATGCCGTGCCATGCCGTGCCATGCCAGCCCTGCTGCAGTCCCTCTGCCCAGAGCCCAGCCCGTCCTACCCGGGTGCAGCAGGAGCAGGGCCCGCAGCAGCAGCAGCACACACAGGGACAGAGCTGCATTCCCATGCCATGCCATGCCGTGCCATGCCATGCCATGCCATGCCAGCCCTGCTGCAGTCCCTCTGCCCAGAGCCCAGCCCGTCCTACCCGGGTGCAGCAGGAGCAGGGCCCGCAGCAGCAGCAGCACACACAGGGACAGAGCTGCATTCCCATGCCATGCCATGCCGTGCCATGCCATGCCATGCCATGCCAGCCCTGCTGCAGTCCCTCTGCCCAGAGCCCAGCCCGTCCTACCCGGGTGCAGCAGGAGCAGGGCCCGCAGCAGCAGCAGCAGCAGCACACACACACAGGGACAGCGCTGAGTGGCACTTTGCACCCAGCTCAGAGGGTGTGAAACCAGCCCTATGTGGGTCAGGCAAACCCTTAATAGGCCCAGTGTTCGGGTGCTGAATGACAAATGCGCTCGGGGCTGAGCGGAATGTTAAGCAGGCCCAGTCTGCTCCGTGCTCCCTGGGGCTGGAGCACGTCAGGGACAGCATCCCTCCCCCCAGGGATCCCATCAGCACCCAGGGACACCCTGGGCTGGCCACGCTCCCCAGCAGTGCCCAGACAGTGGTTCAGCACCAACAGGGCTCAAAGCAGGGGCAGACTGTGTGTGCAGCCCCGTGCCAGCACCGCAGCACCAGCGCTGGGGATCAGCCCCAGGCCGGCAGCAGGGAGCCAGCTCCCCATGCCAGGCTGGGCACAGAAACATGTTCCCAGGCTGGAATGCCTCAAAGGAAGGAATTCCTGGTTGGGAGGGTGGGCAGGCCCTGGCACAGGGTGCCCAGAGCAGCTGGGGCTGCCCCTGGATCCCTGGCAGTGCCCAGGGCCAGGCTGGACAGGGCTGGGAGCACCTGGGGACAGTGGGAGTGTCCCTGCCCACGGAACGAGAGGAGCCCTGAAGTCCCTCCCAAGCCACAGCTTGACCTCATTCCCTGAGCACTTTGCCTGCAGCACCCTGAGCGTGGGGGAAATCCCCACACAATTTCTGGGGCAGGCATTCGATGCAGAGCTGCTGTGCGTACAAACTGTGTAAGGGACCATGTACAGAAGGCCAAGACTTGCAGCATCCCACAAGTTTTTCCAAAGAGGGGCACTTATGCTCTTGGAGACTCCCACCGTGACTGCCTTTCCTGTATCACATTTTCCATTTGCTTCTTACTATGGCTGCAAAAAAAAGATCAGCTTCAGCTTTCCTCTGTGCCGTGACAGGGAGTGAAAGGGAGAACTGACAGACAAACCCCAGCAAAGAAAGCTGGGAGGGAAGTTACTGTGGAGGCATGGCCACAAACACTACAGCACCTCCGTGAAAACAGAGAGGAACACTATGGACAGTCACAGTTGGATCACAAGGTGGAACCCAGGAGAGCACAGGAGCTGAAGGACAGCTGGAACATCCAGGAGAGCACAGGAGCTGAAGGACAGCTGGAACATCCAGGAGAGCACAGGAGCTGAAGGACAGCTGGAACATCCAGGAGAGCACAGGGAGCTGAAGGACAGCTGGAACATCCAGGAGAGCACAGGAATTGGAAGAGCAGTGGGAACATCCAGGAGAGCACAGGAGGAGAACACAGGAGCTGCAGAGCAGCAGGAACATCCAGGAGAGCACAGGAATTGAAGGGCAGCTGGAACATTCAGGAGGGCACAGGAGCTGAAGGGCAGCAGGAACAGCCCCGTGGCCATCCCCACACTGAGGAGCTCAGGCCACCATCACTCCCACCACCTGCAGCCACGGCACACAGACGGTGACAGGAGCACTGCACACCCCAGCCGGCACTGTGGGACACACACCTGTGCCCGAGGCTGCCAGGGGGCAGCAGTGACAGCTCTGCTGCCCAAGGAAGGCTGGTGGCAGTACTGGGGTGGCTCCACACCCCTCACACAGCAGCAAAGGTGTCTCTGAGAGCCTGGAGCCCTCCAAGTGCCTGTGCCAGAACACAACAACCCAGGGAGCTCAAAAGGAACAAATCAGCTTCTCCAAGGAGTGTGTCACACATCTGCAGAGATGCTGGCTCGCAGGAAGACAAAGGGAAGCGTGCCCTTTCCATGCTGTGTGAGCTCAGGAGGAAGGGTGATGGCTGGAGCACAATCCCTGCTCAGAACCAGGGTTCTGCGAGCACAGACACCACTCAGCCCTGCTCTCATCCCCTGGCTTGGACCTCTCCTGGGACTTCATTTGGGATGCCAGGGACACACCTGTGAGTTCCAGCATTCCCTTCCATGGAATTTACACAAGGTACACTACCACTGACCAAGGAGCTCAGTGATTGTCACCTGAGCCCAGGTAGGTACAGCTGTTCAGCTGGAGTGACATTAGATGTGCCACAGGGCATTCCCACTTTCATCCTGCAGGTAGCATCTCTGACACCCAGAAAAGGACTCGATGGCCCTGTGCAGGAGGATTTCTGGCCTCAGGGCTCCCCGCTCCTTGCCTGGCCCCGGGGCATGCTGCATTAGCTCTCCTCAGAGCTGAGAGCCGATTACAGGCAATCCTCCCGAGAAAGGAACTCTCCCAGCAGACCGGCTGCTCAAATTGCCACATCAATCTTGCTCTCCATCCCTAAGAGGAGCTTATTCAGGAGAGAAAGGAAAGCAGGGCTTAGCATAAGCCACTCTAGCACAAAGCCAGACAGGCGTTCCAGCCAGACGGTGCTTTTACACCTGGAACAGCTCAATTGCATCCCGGGAAACACGAGCCCGCATTTCTGAGGATGGGTTTGGATGAGGCTGGGTGAGCTCAGGGCACTGCAGGCGGGCAGGGCCGGGCACTGCTGGCACCAGGCTGCCCCAGGCTGTACCAGGGCACGGCTCAGCTCTGGTTCTTCCCAAAGGAACGGCTCTGCAGGCAGCACACGGCTCACACGGCCTCCTCTGGAAAGGACTGGACACTGCCTGGTGGCCACAAGGCGCAGGGAAAGGACAGGCTCTGCTCAGACACTGGGTTTTCCCCAGCTCTGTCCCAGGTGGCTGAGGAAGGCTGCTGCCAGCTCTGGGCAGGATCCACCCCAGGGCAGATGAAAGGGGAAGGAATGCAGCCCATGTGGTTCCACCGAGGCTGTGCCAGGGAACAGCCCACGCTCACAAACCCCTCCTCTTCTGGGAGCAGCTACTGAAACCTCCTCTCTTCAAGCAGAGATCAATAGCTTGTGACAGAAATGGGATTTTACTTTAATGAAAATTATAATAGCAACCAGCATGAGCAGCACTACAGTCAGGAATGTCATCTTTCCATCACGCAAATATTCTGAATCACCTTTAAAAGCGGCTCAGAGTGTTTCAGTGCTGTCAGTGCCATCTGACACACTAAATCTGCATGTTAAGCCTTACCCTTGATTTCAGTGGAAGCCGTAAATGGCACCTTTGGACCCATGGCCTCACCTGGAGGGGGAGCTGAGGTCCCTGACAGGCTCTAGAACAAGCTGTGGCAGGAGCAGGAGCCCCTGGCTGGCGTGGGAAGAGCCAGGAGCACGTCACAAGGAGTAGCTACTGCAGAGAGTGATCTGTCCAAGGAGTTCAATGTCCCCAGGGAACAGTTCCCAGGAACAGCTGAGCGCTGGGGAAGATTCAGAGGGACGTGAGCTCAAACTGCTATTAAAGGATTCATGATAAGACGAAATAGACTTTAAACTTGAAAGGACACAAAGAGGCGGGGAGAGCAGTCTACAGAAAATGGAAACTACACAAAAGATTTATCAGCACAAGTTCCTGCTTTCAATTTCCAAAAGTTAATACAAACCCTAGTCACAGTAGGAAGTCCTTGGTGCATTCCTTAACCATCAGTCACACTCACTTGGACTACAGCAGCACGGAACAGTCACTTGCAGAGGAGTGTCCCACTCCAGAGCCAGGCTGGTGACCAGCGCCCTGCATGGTGAGGTGCCCAGGGGACCCTCCCAGGTATCAGAGCCTGGACCTGCTGTGCCAAAGGCAAGGGCTCCACTTCAGCAGTCAGTGCACTCCTGACACTGCTTCAACCCCAGAACCTTACAAGGCACCACTTACAGCCTGGGTTTCAAAGGAGGGATTCCAACAGCCATCCTCATGACTCTGCACAGTGTCCCACATGGCAAACCTCTGCCACCCTCAGCCCTCACCAGGCTGGCTCAGCTCCTGGGAGTGGCTTGCCTTCCTTACTGCCCGTAATGCCCGGCCCAGCCAGCTGCCAGATATTGTCTGGACGTTCCTGGGACTTGTGCAACCCACTCCCACCCGAGGCAGTGGCTGAAAGGGAAACACCACAACTGCCAGCGCTTCTCTGCTCGGGTACAGGCTGGATGGGAAACACCACAACCACCAGCGCTTCTCTGCTCGGGTACAGGCTGGATGGGAAACACCACAA